GCTCCCCTCACGTTTTCGTACGCAGGTTTAAATCATGCATCCCATCGTAAATTAACGAAAATTCATTGAAATTCATTGAATTTTAGTGAGTTTTAATGAATTTCAGTGAACTTTGACACATTTTGATGAATTTTGTACACTTTTTTAATTTTTGCACTGCAATGAATTTTATGAATTTCAGTGAATTTTGAAGAATTTCGATGAATTTCAATGAATTTTGGTGAATTTTTTAATTTTATGAATTTTACTGAATTTTTTGAATTTTGTTGAATTTTTTGAATTTTGCATTAGGTGTACACATTTTTTCGGAGTAGTTTCCCCTTGCTTTACCAGGGTTGCCACGCACCTGGAAAACAGGGAAAACCTGGAATTGTCAGGGAAAATGAAACCATGTCAGGGAGAACCGGGAAAACCTGGAAATGTCAGGGAAATTTGCCGAAGACAGGTCAAAATCTTAACTTTCTTGCCAAAAAGTCAAAAAGTGCCTCCACGTCAGATGGGATATCTTTTCCACGCGCGACAACTCCCTTCAAAAATTGGCCAAAATGTCAGGGGAAATGACAAAAAAGTGTCTCTGGAAAACCTGGAAATGTCAGGGAAATCCGAAATTCCAAAAGCGTGGCAACCCTGTTTACCTCCACGGCGGCGGCGGCCTCCCCTGCACCTAGCCCTGCTCTGCGTGTACACCTGCAGCGCACTGCGGCACAGTGTTTGCAGGTCGGGTCGCGACCCTCGTTCACGCCTCGCTGCTCCCCGCCCTGTGACCGCGCCGCGCCACGCCGACTTGGCCTCCGCTTTTCAAAGCCTTCCGATACCGTTTCCTGGCCCTGCTCCAGACGGAGCGCGGCGCCCCCATCCGCGCCAGCAGACTGATTCCGAGAGTCGCTTTCGTCGCTCTGTCTCTCTCGCTCTCGCGCAGCGTTCCTTCTGGGTGCGAGGGAGACAGAGCGACGAAAACGACTCTCGGAATCAGTCCGCCTGGTTCCCGCTGCAGCCGCCCCGCGCGACATCTGAGAGGAAGCTAGCTGTCCTCCTCCGCGCCCCACACCCTAAATATTTTTGTACAAATTTTGTACGAGACATCACAGTTTTTTGTGCACACGAACTTTTCATACAAATTTGTACAAAATTTTGTACAATTTTGTACAAAAATGACGAAAAATGTGCAGTTTTTCGTACGAAAATTGTACGAAAATTTCATGTGCACAAAAAACTATGATGTCTCGTACAAAATTGTACATAACATTTAGTGTGCACCCCGTTGTAAGACGAGGGATTCGGAAGAGTCGTTCTGTCTCTCTCGCACTCGTGGGGCTCTCCGTAAGGGTGCGAGAGAGACAGAGCGACGAATCGCCCTTCCGAATCGCTCGGCAGGCCCGTCACTCGCGGCAACCTTTTCTTTTTCCCTGTCGGGCTTCCGGTCGTCACCCCCCCCCCCCCCCCGGTCCGGTCTTGCACATGCACCCCTTCCCCTCTTTCCCTTCTCCCACTTCCAGCCCCTCCTGCTTCTCTTCTCACTCTTCTCCACACCCCTGTTCAAAGGGGCGGGGGTGAAGGGGGGGGGGCTATGACACCTGAAACGCCGCCTGAAAGATAGGCAAGAAGCCACTTTGTCCCGGTTAGTAGGCAAAACGTCCTACTTCCCCCACCCACCCCCAAGGCCGCCTGGATCCGCCTCTGTATTCGAACCCCCTCCCCCTCTGTCGCGGAAACGGGGTGGTCAGTGCCGCTTATGATTGGTCCGCTTTCTGCTCGGGCGTCACGCGTCTCAGAGCGTTCAGACAGAATAGGAGCTAACAACATGGCGACCCCAAAACAAAATGCAGGAATGGCTGGAAGCTGTTGCAGCGGGGGGTCGGACCGAAATAAGGTCTTTCCAGCGGGGCACAGTGGGCCAGAAGACCGGCGCCGGCGGTCAAAACCCGAGACGCGTTTTGAGCTCCAGAGTCGCTAAATGGGACTCGAACCGAATGCGTGACCCCATCAATGGATTGCTCTCCGAACGAGGAATCCATTGGTGGGGTCGTTCGGTTCGAGTCCCATTTAGCGACGCTGGAGCTCGAAACGCGTCTCGAATTTCGGCCTTCTCCACCGGTCTTCTGGCCCACTGTGCGGGGGGGGGGGGGGGGCGATGCCGCGATTCCGCGCCAGGGGCAGACGGAGACGGCGGGGAAAGAAAAGGACGGAAAGAGAGACCCGGTAATGCGGCCAGATTGTGCGCGGGCGCATGATTGCGGGCCACGAGGCGTTGCCTGGAGTTTTGACTCTCTGTCTCTGTCGCACCCTTGCTGGACGGCGCACAGCGAGTGAGAGAGAGAGAGAGAGAGAGAGAGAGAGAGAGCGAGAGAGAGAGAGAGAGAGAGAGAGAGAGAGAGAGAGAGAGAGAGAGAGAGAGAGAGAGAGAGAGAGAGCGACGGAGAGAGAGAGAGAGAGGGAAACGTACAGAGCGATGGAGTCACTGTTCGGGATCAGCCCGCGCTGTCGCGGCCTGCAGACTGATTCCGACAGTCGTTTTCGACCCTCTGTCTATCCCGCACCTATACGAGACGCCCCACGAGTGCGAGCGAGCGACGCAAACGACTCTCGGAATCAGACTATACTGCTGCATGCGGATAATGAGACGACGGACTGTCAGGCTGGACACGATGCCGAGCGCACGAGAGCGCGGACAGAACAATACGGGGAAAACAGCGAAACGGCTTCGGTGTAGACTTTATTCGATTCAAAGTTGAAATCATGAAATATTCGTGAAAGTTGAAATCATGAAATTTTTCTGAAGAAACATAATGATAAATGAAAATAAAAGCGCCAAGATAAAAGTTAGACCGGATATTCGTACAATTAATTTAAGGTTTTGGTTGTTGTGGTTGGGGTACTGACCGTGTAAACACGACAGTGCAATCATACGATTGCCATTGAGTGCGAGACCACAACGCACTCGAATGGGTCAATCGACTCAGCCGAAACGTCACTTTGGACTTCAGATTCCCAGCTGATATCTTCTTTGTGGACAGTGTTATGCCCCTGCACGCTTCTTCTACCCATCTTCCATATGGCTCCACCACCACGCACCGGCCCGTCATGCCCACCCAAAAAGAACCACGAAGAAAATGAATAGTTTTAAAGAAATTTTCATCTTTATTGCTCATCACAATGATTATCCCAATGAGAACAAGGTGGTCGATTCGACGTCGAATCAATGTCTAACGGTCTAGGTTAGGGCGAATCGAAAGTGAGGTAGAAGAAAAGTGTTTTTCGACGTCCCGGGAAACGCAATAAAATCAATTAAAATCACTTACACTGGCATCCTTTAGCTCGTATCTAACGGTAATTATTTAGAAATTATTCCAAAAATGAAATTTTTTAAAATTTTGTGCTTAACGTCGATTCGACGTCTATTCGACGTTAGCTACGCAGCTGTTTAAATTTACGCGCGCAAGGTGCAGCGCGACCACTGCGCGTGCGCAAATCCAAAGATCCTTTATACAACTTTATTAACATGACAAACACCTTGCAGTACTTAATCGAGGCCCTTAATACAATAATTTAATGTAAAGACGAGTTCGTTGGAGTGACGGTGCCCGTATTTTCGCGTAAGGATGTGTTGGATCCTCTTTACGGCCGTTGTTGGAGTTGGCACCAATGGCTGTGCATGATAAGCGATCGTAATCAAATACTACAAGAAATAGGCCGAACAAATTTGCTACACTGTAAAAAAAAAGTTGCAAATTTTTGCTACTTGGGTGCTGAAACGCCCCTGCACCCACCCTTCGATCACGAATTTCACAGCCCAAAGGGTTGCGAAATTCAGTAACCCACTGGCGCCAAAATTTTGTTGCCCAATGGGTGTATAAGGGAACCGTTCTTACCCAAATAGTGAATTTCTCACGTGGGCAACAGTAGGCCCTCCCGCTGCCCAAGGTGCATAAATTTTGCATCTTGGCCGCAAGACGCTCCCCAACTTGCCCACGTGTATAGATCCCGGTTGGAGGTGTCTTAAAATGCGGGCTGACCTCAGAAAAATCACGAGGTGCATGGGCATCGAACCTGCAATCTCCACTCAGGACCCAACCCCTCTGACCACTGCGCCACCACGCTAGCTAGTCGAAGACGCTCGGCGGAGGCTACTTGACCCAGCCGGCTCGAGACCGTCTGCCGTTAGCGGCGCCCTCGATGGATGATTTGCATTTGTGGGCAAGTTGAGGAACTCAGCTTAACCACAATGTTAACTTTTCTACAGGTGGGCATGGTGGGCCATCCGAGAATCTCCACATGTGTAAATTCTCTCACGTGGACGGCAACTTTTTCAACCCACAAGATACTAAATTTGAACATGTGGGTGAGCTCAGAGCCCAAATCACCCAAATCATGAATTTTGTCTCAGATGTACGGATTTTCGACGACACAATAGCAAATTTCGCTGTCCAACGGGTCGATGTATTTCATCAAGTGGGCTGGTACAGTGGCCTTCTGCAACCCACTGGGTGCAACTGGAGTCTTTGTACATTGGGTGGCAAAATTTCGCATGCCAATGGGTTTCAAAAATTTGCAACATTTTTTACAGTGTAGTGCTGCACTGGATGAATCGTTTCAGGAGAATTTGAAAACAAGACCCCTTTTTTAAGAGCTGTTAACGTTTTGTAAGTATTCGGGACTGACCGTATTCTGTCAAGGGCCCGATGTGCGGTCAAACTACGTTTCTTTTTAGGTTATGTTAACATGTACACAGAGTATTAATTCTGTTGACAGGGTGTTTTGCATCACGAAGATGGTGGAGATTCGGCCGTAAGTTACCAGAAGGCAGTCAAAAATTATATTTCGGTAACAGTTGGCTGGGTTTAACTTCAAGTGAAAGAACTAAAAGGTGAATTTCCTTACAAATAACGAAAATTTTTGAAGTTGTTGATAACAATTTAAAGGAGATCCTCTCCTGTTTCGTAAAAAAACATGAAACATTGTGTCAAATTTTTGTTAGAAAATTTACTTTAACTGGTGTGATAACGGCTTTTTCATTTCAATCTATTCCAACAGTTGGGCTCTTCTTGCATTATCGAGGAAAACATTTGCTGAGGACTTCGTATACGTAACGCTCCCAGGCAAGAATGGAAGTGCACCCAGCGTTAAGTGGCCAATGTGTTCATTACAGGTTTCTTTAAGGTACTGTTTACGTGCCATTTTGCATCGTGACATGATAATTTCTGTCTGGAAAGTCAGCCTTTTGGCAAATAAATTCTCTTGTTATATGTAAGTAAAATTGAACTGTTCTTCACTTTAAATAGTTAAACTTACAAGTGCTGTTATCATTCTGTGCCAACAAGGAAACTGCTGTTTGTTGTGTCGTAATGAACCTTTTGGCTTACTAAGTTTTTGGTGCAGAAGGCTAGTATGTGAAAGCTCATTGATCTTGAAATGAAAATAAAATTTATATCTTGAATTTTATATGCTTGTACTTCCCCCGACCCTTTACGGAAGCCACAAGGCTTTTAAATTGAAAAATATAGCAAAATAAAGTATCATAGACCGCATTTCGACGTTATTTCGACGCATCGACCCCTGATCGACGTCGCCGGGGCGTCGATATTTTAGTCACAGGGACGTCGATTCGACGGAAATTTCGACCTCCCCTTCGATCCCCCTTTCTACATCGAATCGACGTCGAATCGACCACCTTGTTCTCATTGGGATTACCAAAAGATGACTTGGCCAGCGTTCGCCGGAGCGTTTCTTAATCTTTCCACTCGTTCTAACGCCTCCGCTCCACTTTCAAACGCACGAACAATGGATGCCCACTGACTGATCGCGTGGCTGTGTGTCCTTTGAAGTTGAGCATGAGCGTCTATAGCTTGTTGATCATCACTGAAAAGAAAAAGAGCACGTCAGTATACTATCGAACCATTCGAAACAACTTCGGCCCACTTGAACTCGAGTGAGGTTACAAACGAGCGAAACGTTAACGCTAACGTGAAAGCAGCTCATTCAAACGTGATTTTTGTTTCATTTCATCTTAATTTTGACAACACATCATTTGACAAATATCTGCTCTGACAAGGGAACGTTTTCAGGTGTCAGGAGCCGATTGCTCCTATACTTTGGGATCTTAAAGACCATTTCAAGAAAGAATTTTCGGCACCCACAGTTCGTGCTAAAAGTCACTTACAACGCCCTTAAATGAAAGTTCAAGGTCAGGGCCGGCCCGTTTTGGCCAAGCCGTCGGACGGCGGCCAGTGGCCAGTCAGTCGGGTCACACGGTGAAAGTGCGTGTGTCACTTCGAGTTGTCACTCCTAGTGTTGCTAGGCCACTAGGCCGTTGGCATTGCCACCGCGGGTTATACCGAAATCCACCCCACCACTGTTTGGTCAAACCTGAACAGTAAGGAAATCAACTTCGCAAATTGCACGATCTTGCGGAATCCCTGTTTTCCTACCCTCTTCTCGTTCCTTTGTTTCTGTTTCTGAGGGTGGCTCACTCATCCCTGGTGCACCTTGCCTGGGTCGGCGCTTGCTCTGGCAAGCCTTTGGGGACTGTGGCGACTCCTCGGGTGTAAAGGTCAGGCGTGCCTGGCTCCAGTTGAGCCTCCAAACTTCCAGTGGGCCTCTAGCCAGCTTCTTGTCGACTAAGTCGTACTTGCTCGTCTGCGCCTAGCGAGTTCCCCAATGAGGTTAAGTCTAGCGAGGGCAAGCGAGCGAGTTGCCTCTTCAGAGGCTCTCGCAATGCCAGAAGGCCGCTTCCGAGCACCGTCTCCGATGACCCTCCTAGCCAGCCCCACTGAGCTTGTACGCGGGCGCGGGCACTTGCGAGATGTCCTGGGGTATTTGTGCTCCACCCCCAAAAACAAAAACAACGAAACGAGGAAAGGATAGGCTCGGATGGTCAGAGGTCCTGCGGTGTGGCAGGGGTAATGGTGTCCCGCACGGTGCTGTGGGTCCTTGGAAAGCCTCTTCTGATCCAAAATATTTCATTTTCAATTTTTAATAGGCTGGGAAAATTCATAAGAACTTTTCAAACTAAAACAATTACCATGGCAAATTGTAATTTCTGCTCTTCAATTTTTTCGTCGGGAACTAAGAATCATCTGCTTTCATGGACGTTCTTTGAAGTTAAATTTTTTGGTCAAGTTTATGAAAATTGGTCAATTTTCAACTTTCATCTTAGGGCGTTGTAGTGACTTTCAGCACGAACTGTGGGTGCCGAAAATTCTTTTTTAAGGTGGTCTTTAAGATCCCGAAGTACGGGAGCAATCGGCTCCTGACACCTGAAAACGTTCCCTTGTGAGGGTAAAATTACCCAACGAGCTTTATGGCCATCGAAAAAAGTGAAACCAAGTAATAGGTACGCTAGACACGTTTCACGTGACACGCTATACTCGTTAATCAGTTGCAAATTATTTAAATCAGTGGCAAACCCTACGTGGCTTTGATTGCCAAAAATATATCTCATAGCTACTGTACCTGCCGCATCCTGAGGAGAATGCATCACTTTGTCGTGCTCGTAGAGTGTTTCTCGCAAGTTCTAGCATGTTTCTCATTTCCCTCGATGTCACTCCTCCGGAAGGGTTGTTGCCAAATTCTATGGCAGCACTTATTGCTCCGGAATACGTGCTGGCTCCAATGCAACTGAAGTTTATTATTCCGCGTCCTAGGACGAATTGAGTGCGTGTACTAAGGAGTATTAACTAATTAAAAGAGAGGTACAGCCAAGTACTTACTTCCGTTTCTTTCGGCTTCCTGAAGTTCACCGTAAAAATACCTCACGATGGCATTAGAACGATCCATGTGATGGAACAATTCAACCCAGAAGTCATATTCGTTGACTCTTTCAGCGTGTCGCTTGCTACGCCTCTCCTGGACTCTTTCTGTAGAACAAACAAGAGACGTGGAAACAAAACTAGGGGAACAAACTCATTCTTCACACTCTCATTCCAGCAACGTGACATCACGTCCTAACGAATGTGACAATGTCACGTTTTTTTTTGCGTTGTGTCACATTTGTTTCAAAGTAATGTTACGTTCCTGGAATGAGAGATCGAATGAGAGTGTATGCCACAGGCCACGGTTCATCACCAAGCGTAAAGTACTCCTTTCAGTCAGGGCCGTCCGTTCCTTTGCCGACCAC